AGTTGTAAACCAGTTTTATGGTGAAGACCCAGATGGTCCACGTCCACAGTCTGATGATGACCATGCAGTTGTTGTGGAACCTGTAGAGATACCCAACAGTCATGAAATAACAAACTATGTTCTCAGTCAAGTAACAGTTAACAATCCATCTAGCCAAGCTGGAATTGATATTTACTGTCATGTTCTACAGCTAATAGTCTACAAACTTGAAAGTTATGTAAATATTTGATTTCTCAGGCARTGCAAACTATTGTTYATGCAAAAGCATATGCTTGAAGTTCCTTCAATTCAAAATCAGTATGTTATATGTTATATGAAGTATGGTTATAACAATGTCAATGCATTAGTAATAAAATGAAAATATGATAGATTTACGTAAGCAAGACAATTGACTTTTGTAAATTTCATTGACATTGATGTTCAACAATATTGAAAGCATTTTGTACAGGGCTTGAGCTGRCAGTTAAAATATTTCATTTATAAAGATTAAAGGAAGTTCATCCCATATTTACTTGTGCCTATGCTACACCAGCACAAGTTATGGTCTGYAGCRCATATAGTTGTTTGTTTTTCCAAGTTAAAATKTGTGTGRCATCATYATGACTCAAAACAGCAKAAAAATGGCTGACTAGCTTGTATGCTTSHATATATTTCTTAAGTTGTGAACATCTCGTTCTCMTTTTGAGGTATGTCATAACCAACAAACAGCTTAGGGCACAGRTTCACACTACACAGTARTGTCTAGTTGATTTTTKTGATTGGTTAGCTCTAAAGTAAGCTTATTTCTCACTTGTGATGGGAGCATCAAACTCAAGTTTCCCTTATCTAAATTTTGATGTGTAGTTCTTTGAAACAGCACCACAAATCAGCAACTCATTGAGCAATTTGTGGCAATCTTGTAAGAATAMGATTTATCTCTAGGATATACATTAGGATACAGTACTGTAACAAATATGTTTAATTAACCTGGGTGTACAAAATATGTGTCAAGTTACACTTAGTATTCACCAAAACATATAAAAAGAATGCTTCCTTAAAATTACATATAATTATGTAAATAACCACATCATTGAAATGCAAAATGATTGATATAAATCAAGTAGTAACTCACAGAGTATGTGTCATCATCTATAAATTCACTCTGTTAAATATCTTTGTTAAATATCTTTGTTAGGTATCTTTGTTAAATATCTTTGTTAGGTATCTTTGTTATTAAAAATATATATAAAGGCTAAATAAAACTTTTTGTATTTTAAACAACTATAAATTATTGTATAAAAGATCATTTAAAGATCAATTTCAAATGTGAATGGTTCTTCCACTTAATTTTTGTATGCAAAACAAAAACTGACCTTTTGCAGTAACTGGTCATGTGACCTCGCCTACATGACCTGGTGTTTTCCTAACATTGCTTTATAAAATTTAATCTTACATGCATATTTATTGTCATTTCCTAAATAGCACACATAACAATCTTCATTTTGACACAGGCTTTTGAACCGAGGGGTGTAAGGTCACGTGAGCACTTACTGCAAAAGGCCTGAACATGAACTCAATTTTAAATGTCAAAATGGCTGAAGGATACTGCTAACAAAACCAAGCAGGCATTTTTTTTTCAGATCAAATTGTGAGAGAGAATGAGTAAAAAACACCTAGTTTGAACTTGAAAATTCAATAAAGAATGAACAAAGCAGACACACTTTAGTACTCTACAACAAACACAGCAAAWATAAGCTTTCCGAAAAARTCTTGTTTACTTGGAAWTTAGKGGAAACTGARTGCCTAAAATAATCAAAGAAATCTGATCGGTTTTGTTTGCAGTATATTTTATGGCAATTCAATGAAATTAATTTACACAGTACCAAAATGTGTGTTGGCAAAGGCCATGTCATAAATACTAAACAAACTAGAGCTGTCTGGAAGCTTGGCTTGTAATTGACCAATATACAGCTTTAGCACATTAGTGCATGTATGTGCTCTTGGTATGTAGTCATATAGTGGTGGTTCATCTCCTCCTTCTCCCTGTCAATAAAACAAAGGAAATCAATAATTTGAAGAATTCTAAAATTGATATCATGTGTGTCGTAAGGGGCCCAGACATTTCATTTAATCCAACATATTACTCTCAAACAATGTAATACTAAAACAAAAAGGAATACCAGAAAAGACTRATATTAGTAAAACAATGTCCAGTGCCACAGGGTTATAKGCTAGGGTTAGCAGYCTGTAAATGAGACTACAGTGTACAGTATATTTTCAGGTTCAATTTCACTTTCAGAGTATGAGAG